TCCTGTAAACTCAAAAATTTCTGTTAGTAACTGGTTTCTTTAACTATTTGGGGACATAGTTTCACACTCATATCTTGCCCTAGCAGCCCCTATTGGATTTACCTCCTAAATCCCTTCTGAATTAATCTCTTTCTTCTTCTCTATCATCATCTCTTGCCTGAATAAAAACAATTGCCTTCTTACTAGGCTACCCTCATTTTATTTGCCCCCTGTAGTCTCTTTTCCCTTCTTCAGCCAGACTGGGCTTTTTACAACATTGATTTAATTATATCCCTCTCCTGAATAAACATTTTTGTGGATTCTCATTAATCTGGAAGTAATATAAACAAGGCCTTCTTCCATGACTGACTTGCTCCTTTAGAGACAAAGGGATCCCCACCTTTCCGATATGTAGCACAGCCTCGTTGTCCCAGGTTGGGTTCCCTGGGAGACAGACTCTGGGGTGAAGATGAACCAGCAGGTTATTTTTCAGGGAGCACTTTTAGGATCAACACTTGTAGAAGGGAGGAGAGAGAAGCAGGATTGGGTAGAAGAAGAAGTTGGGCTGCAATGAAGTCCCGGTGAAGACCTCAGCTGACCTTGCATGGAGCCTTGTACTAGGATGTTTCTCTAGAGTTGCTCTAAGTTAGGATGAGAGAGCTGGGCCTTTATACCATCAGGTTGATGAGTCCAGTGAGATGTGGTCTGTTTCCAGACATGACCTAAGCAAGGGCATTCCCTTCAGCTGAGACAATCCCAAATAGGGCTGATGCTGAGGACCATCTTCACAACCAAGTGCCTCTCGGCATCCATTACCCTCCTCCTGGGAACAGCTTGTTCCTGTAAAGCCTTGGGCTCAGGATATTATTCACTCACTCATAGTCAGATCCTGAAAGCTAGCCCAGCTCACCCACATAACCCAAAGCTCTCTGATTCCACAGTTTTAGATTTACAGAAAAATTGAAGACAATACAGAAAGGATGGATATATTTGTACACTGATTCCCCTATCACTGGCATCTTACATCAGTTTAATACATTATTATAATCAATGAACCAATATTGATACATTATGATTAACCAAAGTTCATAGTTTATTTATATCTTTTCTTTTTACCTAATGTCCTTTTTCTGTTCCAGCATCCTGTCCAGCATACCTGTTACATTTACTTGTCATATCTCCTCAGGCCTCTCTTGGCTGTGACAGGTTTTTAGACTTTTCTTGATTTTGATGACCTTGACAATTTTGAGGAGTACTGGGCCCGATATTGCAGGACGCCTCTTCATGGAAATTTGATGTTTTTCTCATGATTAGATTGGGGTTGGTTGTGAGTTTTTGGGGGAAGGTAGCAGAGGAAAAGTGTCATTCTCATCACATCGTATTAAAGGTACATATCAGTGACATGATTTATTTTACTGATGTTGATTTACAATTGTTGATGAACCCTTTTTTTTGTTTTGTTTTGTTTTGTTTTGTTTTGAGGAGGAGTTTCGCTCTTGTTGCCCAGGCTGGAGTGCAATGGCGCGATCTCGGCTCACTGCAACCTCCGCCTCCTGGGTTCAGGCAATTCTCCTGCCTCAGCCTCCTGCGTAGCTGGGATTACAGGCACGCACCACCACGCCCAGCTAATTTTTTGTATTTTTAGTAGAGACGGGGTTTCACCATGTTGACCAGGATGGTCTCGATCTCTTGACCTCATGATCCACCCGCCTCGGCCTCCCAAAGTGCTGGGATTACAGGCGTGAGCCACCGCGCCCGGCCCGTTGATGAACTCTTGATCCCTGGTTGACGTGGTATTTGTCAGGTTTTTCCGCTGTGAAGTTATTTTTTCTCCTTTTTTCCCTGCTGCACTCTTTGAAAAGAAGTCGCTCTGCACAGCCCACACTTCAGGAGTGGAATTTAGGTTCCACCTCCTTTAGGATGGGGTGTATAAATAAATTATCTGGGACTCTTCTGCACTGGGGAGTCTTCTCTTCTCTCCCACTAATTTATTCAATTATTTATTCATATCAGTATGGACTCAGATATTTATTTTATACTTTGGATTATAACTCATTACTACTTTACTTATTTTTTTTTGCTGAAATTGTTCCAGCATTAGCCTTTGGGAGCTCTTTTAGTTGGTTCCTGCACTCCTTTGATGGACTTCAGTCACTGTGGGTTTTGGTTTTGGGGTTGACTTTTTTTTTTCTTTTTAGCATTTTCTTACTTTCTAGAGGATGTTGAATCTTTGATGGAATGTTTTAAACAGAAAGGAGAGAGAGTAGTTTTTAAAGAAAGAGCTTGAGAATACAGCACACAAGCCAAGAGATCAAATGAAGAAAGTTTTCTTTTGAAATCTAACACCTAGTAGAAACCAATGGCCTCAATGATGTATTCACTCATTTAAAAACATTGACAGCCTATCATATGGCAAACACGGATTTGGCAACTGAGGATACAGATAATCTCCCTGACCCCCTGATAGAACTGACATTCTATTTGAGTAAGACAGACAAATACAGGCAGTTCTCACTTTGGTGCTGACATGCATGCATTTAACTTACCACAGTTTAGTTGAGTAATATCAGTCGCACAACACAAATCTCAAAATTTAGGTGCCATAGTAAATTTACTGTAATTTGCATAGAGTACAAACTTCTGGGCGAGCTCTTCAGTCCACAAATCACCATGGAAATAACAAAAGCTCATCATCATCAGTAACCAGTCATGTTGCTTCTTTCAAAGTCTGTTGTTGATTGGTTCCTATGAATCTCCTACTCAAACAGCAAAGCCGTAGTTGGGTTGCCTTCTTGTCTCCCAGTGACATGAGCCCACGTGACATTTTACAGTAATTAATAATTGAAAGAGGAATTTGACAACCAAGATGAAGGTGCCGTGAGGAAATGAGAAGTGCAAATGCTGCCTGTGAAGTTCAAATTAAATGTGAGTGGAATTCTAGAAGTACAAATAGTTGACCACGGCAATGTAGATCACGACACAGGAACTTCCAAGAGGCAGCCAGAGGGATGTAGTAAAGGCAAACTGCCACAAATGGGAGAGGGGTGGGAATAAAAGGGCTGAAGATGTCCGAAAGGTTGAAACACCAGCAAAAAACTTCACATGAGAGGGTCTTCTGGAGTGATTTCGTAACATTAAAAGTGCAAGAGATAAGATGTTGGAAGCTAGTTCAAACTTAGAAAGATGGCAGAACACCAAAGTATAACAGAAATGGTGCTTGATGGCTGGACGCGGTGGCTCACACCTGCAATTCCAGCACTTTGGGAGGCTGAGGCAGGCAGATCACTTGAGGGTGGGAGTTCGAGACCAGCCTGACCAACATGGTGAAACCTCGTTGCTACTAAAAAATACAAAATTAGCTGTGCATGGTGGTGCATGCCTGTAATCCCAGCTACTCGGGAGGTGGAGGCAGGAGAATCACTTGAACCTGGGAGGTGGAGTTTGCAGGGAGACAAGATTGTGACATTGCACTCCAGCCTGGGCAACAAGAGCAAAACCCTATCTAAAAAAAAAAAAAAAAAAAAAAGAAAGGAAATGATGCTTGCTTCACGTATTAGCCCATTCTCACATTGCTATGAAGAACTACCTGAGACTGCATAATTTATGAAGAGAAGAGGTTTAATTGACTCACAGTTCCACAGGCTTAACAGGAAACATGACTGGGAGGCCTCAGGAAACTGACAATTATGATGGAAGGAGAAAAGGAAACAGGGACTTTTTTCACATTGTGGTAGGAGAGAGAGAAAGAGAGAGAGAATGAAGGGGGAAATGCCACACGCTTTCAAAAAACCAGATCTCGTGAGAACTCACTATCACAAGAACAGCAAGGGGGAAGTCCATCCCCATGATTCAATCACCTCCTACCAGGCCCCTTCCCCCAACATGTGCAGATTACAATTTGAGATGAGCTTTGGGTGGGGACACAGAGCCAAACCATATCATTCCATATCAGAAATACACAAAAAGAAGGCAAGCACTCTTTCAACTACTCTTGATACATTTTTACTAAGAAACAACGCTCGAACTCTCAGTGTTTCTAATAGTTTGAATTACAGTGCACAAATAAATATTTATTTCTTTATATTTTCATTGCCCTCTACATTTGTAACTGAGAGTGTAAGATTTTCTAATATTTTGACAAAAAAAGTTAAAGGTCTCAGAATGATCACTTTTTTGATTGAATATGAAGATTGCTTTCCTGGGTTTCAGGTTGCACAGTTGTTTTTGCAATACTGCACTGCCATGAAAAGCGAGGGCTGCCCGTATTCGGTTAATACTTATGGAAATAAGGGCGAAAGAAAAATTAACTAGGATAAGAGAAATTAGAATGCTGGGATAGAGAAAAGAAATAATATTTTATACAGGGTAGTTTACAGAAGGTGCCTTTAATAAAGTGACATTGAGCAGAGACCTGAAGGAGGGAGAGAGGGAGCCGTGCAGCTGCGTTGGGGAAGAAGCAAAGAAGTGATATGATTTGACTTTTCCAAAGAATTGCTATGGCTGAAAAATGAAAGCCAGAGGAGTGGTCCCAAAAGAGATGATGCTGGCTGAGACAGGGAGGGGTGGCGGAAGTGAGAAGTGGCAGATTATGGCTGTAACTCAGGAGGTCCTGCAGCAGGCTTGGACTGGCCCCGGAAAACCATTGTTGAATTACAGGAATTCTGCAATCTGGTTGTTTGACGTTTGGTAGCTTGAAACTGGCCATGTTGGGAGTTATTACACTACAGAGATTGGCAAGCATGACAAAACAGCTTTTGATTTTTCCCTTTCAGAAAGTCTACTGTTAAACATTTACCATCTCACATAGGTGGATATAAACATTTTGGAGGCAGAATTGAATACGGGATGTAAAGGGAAGTCAAGGAGGACTCCAGGATGTTGGACTGTGGCAGCATTTCTACCATGAGCAGCAGGGCTTGGAAGGCTGCAGGATGCTAGGAGAACTAGTGTCCCCATCACAGAGAGGGAAGGGAGAGCTGCTTTCTTTTTGCGTGTGAGGGGTAGGACACTTGGACAAAGAGGAAGGAGAATCATTTTTTCTTAAAATTGTTACAGGGGTTCATGTGTATGCAGGAGGCAACAGAGAACCTCAACAAGGCTGGGGAGTTGGGGTAGGCAGTAATCCAGAAGACAACGTAACTCTTGAGAGCCTGGAGAGAGTCTGTGGTATAAAGTCAGTCCCAAGGCGATGGATGGGAGGAGTCCTGATGTGTTCAGATTTGGCGTGTTTCTCACATTCTAGGGAGGTGCCATGAGTCAGTGCCTCCAGCCCAATCCCATGTCCCCTGCTCAGGACCAAGAACAAAGACCCTGCTCTGGAGCATCAAGGCCTTGTGAAGGAGCGACAGGAGTCTGTGGGCAGGCAGATGTCCTGGGAAGGGAGGCATTTGGAGCTCAGTCTGAGGAGTCTTCTCACCAGCTCCTTCTCTCAGGCTGAGCCTCTAGAGGAAGGAGGGAGGCAGCAGAGACCGAGGATCTCACACGGCAGGGAAGGAGTGAAGGAACTGTGGGAAAACACGTCCACATTTAGTCATCTGCCCATCATTCAAGAAATGTTTCCTGAGAGCCTGATATGTCCCTGGTGCTAGTCTCCTCTTGGGATGCCTGTTCCTCAGGCAGGCCTGAGATAGGACTCTGCCAGCGCAGCCCTCCTCCCAAGTCCTGATGCCCCTGCCTCCCTCCCTTCCACTCAGGCACACAAGGGGTCAGAATAGGAACAGCCCTCAGAGCAGCCCAACTGGGGATTCTCAACATTACTCTACAGTGGGGATTCCTTTGACCCCATGGAGTCCCAGCAGCGGCCTGCAGGGGACCACCCACTCAGTTGTCGCTCATTTCGCCCCCTCTGTCCACCTCTTCCATGGGACTCCTAGGGCACTGGGGATACCTTTGAACCTCCTTGAAGCATCCCACCTCCTGTAACACCCTTGAGGCACCTCACCTTCTGCACACTTCCTGGGGGTTGAGAGTCTCAGGGTCTCAGGGTTCCCTGAGACTCCTGAATATCCCGAGGGAGCCCTGTCACCTTCTGTAAACTCCACTGACCCTGAAGCTGCACGGCATGTGAGCTGGGCCCTCCTGCTGGCCTTGTCCGTCTGGGGCAGCCTTGGTCAGTTCTCCCTCTCCCACACTTACAGTCAGGCCTTCTGTTTCCAGCAGATGTAGATGGCAAAGACACCAACCACCAGTAGTACCTTGGGGACCAGGAGGAGAGCTACAAGGAGTGGAGCAGTAGGAGCCAGTGCTGGGCCTGGAAATCAGGGAAGAAGAGGAGCCATGGGAGGGGCCACCTGGGGCCTCCGCTTACCCCATCTGAGGCTGCCTGCGCACATCAGTGCTCCGAAGCTTTTGAGCTTGCATCCTGCCCTGGCTTCCCTGACTCCAGCCAAAAGCAAAGGCTAGGGAAAGCGGCTCCTCATTGTCACTCATCCTGTCCCAGGCTGCCAGCTTATCCTCCTGGAGGGAAAAGGTGGGGAGGGCGTGTACTCAGGTATTCATATGTGTGGCAACTGGGTTCCTCACTTGATCCACACAAGCCTGTGGGGCAGGGATTATTATTCCATTCTGATGGGGAAACTGAGGCCAGAGAGTTTAGGGAGCATCAGGTGATTAGTAAGATCCAAACCTAGGGAAGCCCATCACTATGTCCCCAAGGGTGACTCCTGAGTCCAAGACAAGTCCAACCCCCCTGGGTCATAGGAATGATTAGGAAGGGTAGGCAGGTGGTGTGAGAATGGATTCAGAGAGACAGAATCGCATGCTGATCATGAGAATGCAATATTCTTCACCCCATAGTCTCATGATCTCAGGGAGCCCTCCAGCGATAAGACCTACTGAAACTTGTACCTTGGTGAGTCAGGGAATGGGCCTCATGGCCAGAAAGGCCTCAGGCATCATCTATCACACCTCAACCCCAGTGCAGATGTCATCTGAATTCCTTCTGTTGGATGCAGGGAGTCAGATCTACAGAAGCACATGTTTGGACTCTGCATTTTTTAAATAAGGGGTTTGGGATATTAAAAGTAACAAAAGTATTAATTTTTTAAAATAAATAAAATGGTGTTGGTGGGTTCTTAAGGAAGGAATGGAGACCTCAGCATCTGTGGCTACTGGTGTGTGGGAGGCCAGCAGTTCTCAGCCGGGTGGCTTTCTGGGGCTTTCTCTCCCTTGAGGAGAGCTGCGCTGCCCAAGCTTACTCCTTCTAGGGGGCAGCCCACGTGAAAGATTGAGTGCATTGGGAGTATGAAAGGCCAGCCCCTCCCCTTAATTTAAAACAACTCTGCAGGACCCTACAGCCCTTGGCCTCTCTGCAGGAGCAGCAGGTGTTTGTGCTGCCTGCACTGTGGCTCAGCACCTCCCTCCTTCTACAGTCCTGCCTCCTCATTTGCTGAGGCCTGTTGACCCTGATGGCATTCTAGGATGCTTCCTGCATTCCTGTATCCATCCCCAGTTGGCCTCCCAGAGAAACTGACCTTGAAAAGTGGTCTGGAAAGCAAACTCTAAAATATGAGTTTGGGATTTGATTCCTCATCAGCTGGCAATGAGGCCCCCAGGGTGGTGGTGAGTGAAGCTGGACAAGCCCTGACTTGCTGTTGTGGTGCAACTGGTAAAACTTTCACTGGCAGTAAACTGGGATAGTGTAACCACAGGAAGAAAATTCCTTGGCATCAGGCTTTTGAAAACGGGTTGGGAAACGGTGGTCATAAGAACTAAGGTTTTAGCAGTTGCTGGGCATCAACCCTTGGGAGAAAGACAATGAGAAGCTAAGAATGATGGATCATGAGTTAAGGTTCAGTGAGAAGCTAAGAGTGGTTGAGGATGAGTTAAGGTTCAGTGTGGAAGCCAGAGGACTTCTTGGCAGCACTGTAGATTCTTCTTTCTTGGAGCCACAAGGCAGAAAGAATAGAGGATTGGTTCCTAGGCATCATAGAAGAGTAGCAGAATCACAGAGGAGAATGAATCTGAGTTTCAGTGGCTGCTACGCTGGGATATGACCCTGACGGGGAAGCTGTGGGACCCTGAGATGTGGGAGAAGACACTTGGGTCAAAGCACTCAAAGATTGTCAGTTGACTTTGGAATTGCTGGGGACAATTGCAGTAGCACAGCTACTTGTCTCTATAAATATCCTCCCCAAACCAAAAGAAGGAACAAAAGAGGAAAAGTAAATTCTATACAATCCAGGCTCTAAAACTCCTTGAAGAGAGAATGCCAAACTGCAAAATGACTATGAGTCGAAAAGGAACGCTCACCTAACCCTAGTGCTCAGTCTCTCCCTAGGCTCCCACGCCACTGATGCAACACATCACAGAAGACGACCTACAACGCATTTCCAGACTTAGCACGTGAGCCAGGATGCGACGTCAGGCACACTGAAAGCACCCCAAAATGGCAGCCCTGGTCTGAGCCCCAGTGGGTGGATGGAAGTCTAAAAAGCAAATGCAACTTCAGACAGATGGTACAGATTCATCTCTTCCCGCTCCTCCTTGAGAAATACAACTAAGAACTCTAGAAATATCGCGAGAAGCAGGCATAGGAGGACTTCCAAGGTGAAAAAGGAAGGCAGACTGACCAGAGACCTGAGGACTCAGGAACAGCCCTGAGGCCAGGCACCTGGGATCCCACACCCACCCCCAATATGAGCTCCCAGCCATAGAATGTGACAAAAAAAATAAAAAAGATACAGAAAAAAGAAAAAGTCTGAATTCAATAATATAAACCCCCACTGACAGGAATTTTAAAAAAAGAGAAGAGAGTAGAAATAAATAACATTAAAACATAAAAAAACCACAAAAAGCATTTGAAACAGTTGTTCCTTTGAAAGGAACAATAAAATGGAAAAAAATTATAGCAAGTCTGATGAAGAAGAAAGCAGAAATGGCACATTTTAAATATCAGGATGAAACAAGGGCTATCACTACAGACCCTGCAGACACCAAAAGGGTTAGAAGGGATATCATGAACAACTCCACACACAGAAATACGACAACATAGATAAATGAACCAAAACCTCTTTGAAAAGCACAGGTTACCAGAAATCACCTAATATGAAATGAATAATGTGAATAGCCCTAAACTGTTGAGGAAAATAAATTCATAATTTTTTTTTTTTTTTTTTTTTTTTTGAGATAGAGTCTCGCTCTGTTGCCCAGGCTGGAGTGCAACGGCACGATCTTGGCTTATTGCAACCTCCGCCTTCCAGGTTCAAGCAATTCTACGTCAGCCTCCCTAGTACCTGGGATTACAGGTGCCCACAAATGTGCCTGGCTAATTTTTCTATTTTTAGTAGAGATGGGGTTTCACCATGCTGGCCAGGCTGGTCTCGAACTCCTGACTTCATGATCCAGCCGGCTCGGCCTCCCAAAGTGCTGAGATTACAGGCGTGAGCTACCATACCTGGCTGTCAATTCATAATTTTAATACACCCCAAAATATTCTTGAAGTATAGATGTTTCATAGGAAAATACTACCAAACATTTAGAGATAAATTAAAACCAAATTTGGTGCACAGAATAACGGTTACAAAAGGAATTTGAGGAAACTGGAAGGTATGCTCTGTTTTAGATGATGTAAAATATAAAAATATAAAATATAAAAATTTTAGATGTTATTAAGTTTATAATGATATTGGTTTTATAAAAAATGTCCTCAATTATCAGATCACCCCACTGTGGACTCCTCTTGCAACTGCATGTGCAGGCATGACTGAGTGAGCAATGGACGGGACCATGCACCTTCTGTTCATCTCTGATGACAGGGGACCTTGTTTGTCTTCCACTTCCTGTCTTCCCTCTTCAGCAGGCAGAGACATGGACAAATCATGATCCAGCATGGACCCAGCAGATAAAGCCTATGCCACAGGGCATGTGGGAAGGAACCGGGGCCTTCTAAAAGTCTTCTGGAATAGAGAATCCCCTGGTGTTACATGAGAGAAAAATAAGATATATTTTGCTCCTATTGGGGGGAACCCTGGTCAAATTCACGTCCTCAGTACAATGCCCAGCAGAAAGAGAACATTTCCCAGATTAGCATGAATTCGCGATATAGACTGGTAGTGACCCTGTCCTCAGGACCTCAGACTTACCTTGATTAGATTAGACCAGCCATCTGGTCTAATGCCTTCACCTAATTGTCTTCAACAATATCCCCCATTGCTTCCCATGTCCTGGTTTCCCCTTCTGCAAAACTCCAGACACACTGGGGGGTTGAAGCAGGAAAGGAGATCATAGAAGAACAGAAATTTGCACAAAATAGACCTGCAGAGAGCCGTTGTGATTGTTATTGGTCAAAGATCACCATCAGGACTCAAAGGAGGCCCATGCTTTGACCACTCATGGTCACCTGGGGGCCTGGTCTAGGCTTAAACTCCACTTGTCTTTCTGGAATTCATACAGTAGCTGCCAGAATCTGCTGGGGGCAGGTCACAGATATTAATGGAAAAGTTTAGGAAGGAACAGATAAGGCAGAGGTCAGAAGGAGTAGGGAGGAGGCAGGGTGGGCTGATGAGAAATGGGGGTGTAACAACTGTCAGAGGAAAAAAGCCAGAAGCAGGATGCGATGAACAGATGATACCCTTGCCTCCTTCCTTCCTCATTTGATATATATTTATGTCAAATAATCTGTCAGATTGTACCTCAAACTCTTGCTAGTGATGATTCTTGGAGTGTGAGATTTGGGAGAATGATGCTGACTTTAAAATTTTACTTTATGGCCGGGCGCGGTGGCTCAAGCCTGTAATCCCAGCACTTTGGGAGGCCGAGGCGGGTGGATCATGAGATCAAGAGATCGAGACCATCCTGGTCAACATGGTGAAACCCCGTCTCTACTAAAAATACAAAAAATTAGCTGGGCATGGTGGCGCCTGCCTGTAATCCCAGCTACTCAGGAGGCTGAGGCAGAAGAATTGCCTGAACCCAGGAGGCGGAGGTTGCGGTGAGCCGAGATCGCGCCATTGCACTCCAGCCTGGGTAACAAGAGCGAAACTCCATCTCAAAAAAAAAAAAAAAAATTACTTTATATTTATAGAGTTCTAGCTTAATTTATGATAAGCATGAATATTGCTTTTAACATCAAAGAAAAAGATAAAATTTAAAAATGGTAAGTAACCACACCATGGGTGACATCTGAGCCCTGCTCCTTCCTGCGGGCTGAGGCCTCCAGGCGAAGGCTTCTGCTGACCGCCGGCTGCCCGTCATGCTCCACCTGGCAGGTGAGCACCACACCATCCCTGTGGGCAGATGAGTTCACCAGGAGCCAGCTTGCCCAGCTGTAGGTGCCATCCTTGTTCTCTATGAGAGTTGAGGCTGTTTCTGTCCGGGACACGTTTCCGTTCTCCAGCCAGGTCAGCTGTAGGCTCTGGGGGTAGAACTTCTTCACCTGGCAGGTGACGTTCACCTGGTTCTCTGCCCTCATGGGCTGATGAGTAACCTCCAAGGTGGGTGGAACTGAAACAGCACAGGGCAGAAACTCTGACCTTGTGGCACAGGCAGGTCACAGGGAGGGCTCCATAACTTAGCTCCCAGCACCACGGTGAGGGCGTCCCCAGGACAGTGCTAGGCAGGCAGCAGGTGCTCAGGCATTGAGAGTGCTCTCTGCATATGAGTGAAATTACTAAGCACAATGCCTCGTACACAGCAGGTGCCCAAGGACTGATAGCTCCTACTAGACTAAGAATGAGTGAAATTTACAAGCACAACCCCTGGCATACAGTTAGAATGTAAGAACTGTAGCAAAATCAGTGAAATTACCAAGCACATAGGGATTTGGCTTCTAGGAGGTGCTCACTAATTGTAGTTGCTCTTGGTGAAATAAATGAAACTCTAGCACAGAGCTTAGCACACGGTTGCTGGTCCCTGGACAGCTGCCATTAAAATGATGATAAGTGACCGGCACACCTAGGTGCATGGGACGGGGGCAGCACAGTTAGGGATTAGATTCTAGGCGATTCAAGCTCCGGAGCAATGGCCTGGGGAGTGGGCAGTGGGCTTGGCAGCCCGGTGTGGGCCTGGGCTGGGAGTGAGGGTCCTCTACCTCGGATGGCCTCAGACAAGTTGGCAGTCCCACGAAGACGGTCCCCCTGCAAGGTGACATGGGCCACCTCGCAGATGACCTGAGAGCGAATGTCCCCACGGGTCAGTCCCACCTTGGCTGTGCTGCGGATGCTGTAGGACACGCTCTCTCCTGCGGGGTCCACGGTGGTCTGGAGGGCTGGGAGCTCATTCCCATTTTTGAACCATTGCAGGGTGACGTCTCTGGGGGAGAAGCCGTGGGACTCGCAGGTGAAGCTCACTGTGTCCTCAGGTGTGACCCTCGTCGCAGGGCCTGACACCACGGGGGCGGAGGGTTTGGCTACAAAAAGGAGCATCGATAAACAGCGACATGACTGAGATGACCACCACTGACGATGAGTGTGTGACATGCTAAGAACCTTCATGGACATTACTTTTAATCCTTCTAATAATGTGGAGAGGATGGCGTTCTTTGATTCTCATTTTACAGAGCAGGATGCAAAGGTTGGAAGAGGACCAGCCCCAGGTCAGACCGTGAGTAGGGGCAGGACCCAGAGGGAAGCCCAGGCCTGAGTTCAAAGTCATCTCCACACAGGGTGACTTCCACCAATTTGGGCATAGGAACAAAATTAATGATTAGTGTCCCTCCGTGTTATTAACTGGCTCTATCTGGCCTTCGCCAAAATCTCAGCAACCTCAGAGAGGGCGTTTCTAGAAGCCAATGCGGAGAATAATAGCAAAGTGGTATTACCTCGAGAGCTGTAACCAGGCTGCTCAGCCCAGGAGAGGCGTGGCCTGGCATACCCAGCTCCTCACCTGTAAAACAGGAGGACAGCGTTTCTACTTGCTGGGATGTCGCCAGGATTAAGTGTGGGCAATGGAAGCAGTTTGCTCTGGATCAAACACTAGAACATGCTTCTCAAAAATAAACACAGATCTCTCTTTAACCCAGCCTTTACAAATACAGAGATCTCTCTTTGGTTATTACAAGAATGTGAATTATTCCTTAGTTTTTATTCTTTTCACAAATATTTCAGTCTGTCAAAAAGGCATTAACTAAGGCTAAAGCTTTAACATGGAGCCAAGCATTTGTAAGAGCACTAGCACTCACAGCTGCTAGAGGTCAAGCCACAGGATGCTGCTCTAGACCTGGATAACAAGTGAAGCCAAGGTCTGTGGGTGTTGACCTCTCTCTCATCCTGGAGTACTTTAATTAAATAACCAATGAGAACAGGGTTTACAGATTAGGTTTTTTGACCAGCCAATGAACTGTTTCCAAAAACAACCTCTGTGAAAGTCCCCTGTAAGAAACCTTTCCTGCATCGCCACATGGGACACTATTCAGGGTTTCACCGACTCAGTGCTTCCAATTGCAACTCTTTATTTTTCAAATAAATGCTATTTCCTTTGGCCTTTCTAACAATCGTGTTTTTAGTTAGCAGACCTAATCTCCTGCAAGGCCTAATTTGAAAAGAGGACTTTTTTTTTTGGAATCTGGATCTTCAGTTAGGTCAAGACTGGGTCAAAACCAACCATCACGGAGTACTAAGAAAGCCATAGGTGGTTAATTTTTTCATCGTTAATTAATGACAAGAGACAAAGACCCAGGCCACCTCAACAGGCAGAAACATATTCTGGGTCCTGAAAGCAAACAAATTGGAGAATCAGAGCACTGAGGGTGGTTTCTCCCTTTAGATGAGCTTTAAGGATGTCTGCAAACTGCTAACTGCTACCTTGAACCTTCTGCTGTCGTTCCAGAAAGCACGTATTACACGTTTACCTTTGCAAATATTAACTTGCTTTCTAACATGGGTGAAATATTTTGAGGGTACAGTAAGGAGGGTGTCACTTGAGATGTCAAGTCTTTGAGACACCAGCAGCATGGGTGTCCCTAGAGGGCCGAGATGCTGTCTTCAGTTCCGATTTATTGAGGGCTTCTTGGCAGCCAGACACCGGCTGCTCTCTCTGTACCTCTCAGCTCTTTAATCCTCCTTCTAATTCTTAGAGGGGGTCCTCGTGTGAGCCCTTTTGTAGGGTGACACTCTGAAAGGATGCTTGCTGGCCAAGGTCCAAAAGTAGATCAAAACCCCACCCTGGTAAGACGAGTGAGGGTAAGTTCAAGTGCATAGCCTGGCATGTAGTAGGTGCTTAATAAATAACCCCTGCAACGGTAATGATGAGGTTTGGTCATCGCTGCTTCTGAAGCTTCATAGCTATTCTTTAGGCAACAGAACAAAGAGGAGCAGAAACACCAAGGAAGGGCTCCAACCCTGCTCACTGAAACCAGAAAAAAACCCCAAATGATAAAAGGAGCAGCAACCACCACCTTTGGTGATTTGGCTTTCGAATAAGATCACAAGTGAAGCTGGAAGCATTTTGGAAGACGGAGGGAAAAGATATGTCAGTGACATCTGGGAGTGCTGAGGCAGGGAGGCTTCTGGGACTGAGGAGTGAGGATTTGCTGGGACTCCAGCACACGATTAGATACAAACATTAGATACAAGACAGAAGGTTCCCCAGCACTGAGGCTGGATCTGAGCGAAGCTTTGTCCAAGTCTCCTGTCTTGGGTCCCGAGGCCAGTAGCACAGGGAAGGGTCCTGTCCAGGCTTGTGGGGCCTCCTGATATGTTCCCAGCATGTCTGTTTTGAAGGACCCATGCCCCCAAAAGCTATTCTCAAAGCCCCCAAGCCTGGGGCTCCACTTTTGCTAGGTGGCTCTGTATGAGTATCTTCTGGAGTCATTAAGAACTTTAGATGCCCAGGCCCATGTTAGACCAATTAAACTGGCATTTTAGGGGGGAATCCTGGGTCCAGGTTTGTAAACTTTTTGTTTTGCAAGTTTCCCCAGTGATTCTAATGAGCAGCTAAGGTTGAAGGCCACTGGACCCCCAACCCTAACCCCATTTATACCCGGGGCCTAGAGATGCACTGACCTATCTGAGGTCACATGGCTTCACCCTAACACAGCTCACATTTATTGAGCATTTACTGGGTGCTAGGTGATGCCCTAAGCATTTTACATGATTTAACTCCTTCAGACTCTGCCCAGTCTGTGAGGTCAGTGTTACCATCAACAGGTGAGGACATCGAGGCCTATGGTGGTGAATTGCCTTGTCCCAGGTCACAGAGCCAGGAAGTGGCAGAGCCCAGAAGTGGCCCAGGCAGCTGGTATCCTGCCCGTGCTCTCCTAACCACCATTCTGCAGAAGCTCAGTCATGAGCCTGAAAAACCACAGCTGAGTGTTGCAGGGACAAGGGCTGTGAGTCAGGCAGGGGTTCAAGCCTTGGCTCTGACCTGCTCCCAAATCAGGTCTCCTCTCTGAGTCTGTGTCCTCATCTTTAAAGGAGGTAGCGAACGGCTCCTCCCTCATAGCACAGGATATAAGGAGACTCTGGCACAGCTGCTGCTCCCCACCTACCTCTTTTCTCACCTGGCTCATCATTTAGGCTGAGAGCATGGCAAAGAGGAGTGAGCACTTTACTAGGAGTCAGCAGATCTGAGTCACACCTGAGCCACCACTGGCTGTGACTGCCTGGGCCGGGGAGGCACCTTCCGGAAACTTCAGTGTTTTTGCCTGTATGATCTGCACAGTCAGGGTAAAGCCACCCTCCCTGTCTAAGTTCAAGTGTTGTGGGGAGCCCTCATTGCCACATCATCTAGGATGCAAATTAGGCAACATTCTCAAATATTAAAACACACTATGCTCTGACCTAGTAATGCCAGTTCCAGTGGGCATCTCCCACCAGAGTAGGCTCACACAGGTACAACGTCATCCACTGCAGGATTGTTTTAGTAACTCAAGGTTGGGAGTAACTTACATATCCATCAACAGAAGGCTGTGAAATAAATTTTGATATTTCCATCAATGGGAGGTTTTTTCAGCTGTTAAAAAAAAAAAAATGGAGCAGCTCTCTATGTCCTGATGTGGAATCGCTGATACAGAATGACAGGACTTCCATGTGGGAGAAGTTTTTCAATCACCAGCGGGCTTTCGTGTCTGAATGTGAGGAGCATTCCAAACCTTTGAGAAACTGATGAAAAAGAGACATGCTGGCTCTCTGACCCGTGGTTCTGTTTGGGGAGCTTTGATTTAGCACCTACTGATGCACCAGGCCCTTCTATGGTGATGGTGTCTAACAAACACTAGAGAAGGAAGGAGACTGCCTAGATTCAGATACGGACGCTGGTTCCAATTCTGCCAATAACTGTCCCTGTGACCATGGACAAGGACCCTGTCATCTCTTTGCTTCAGTCTCCCATGTGTGAAGATGGTTGGGCTGGATGGTCTGAAGGTCCTTCCTGTGCCGACGTTCCAGGATTCAGGAGTTAGGACGAGGCTCTTGGGCCTCTGGCAGGAAACCCCAAATAAACATCATTGCTGCCTTATATGGGGAACCCTCTAAGTCACCCACATGTGGAACGTCTTTCCTGAGGGGAGGGACATTCTGAGATGACACAGCTCTGCTCAGAGCCCATGGGGACTGTGTGACTCAGTCCCCGAATCACACAAGGGTTTCCCAAGTGGACCCACAGCAAATGCCAAACTTATGGGCATCTATTCCCACCAGCCCATCAGATTAAACAGTGAATGTTCCCGTGTGATGTTTCTGAAGATTAAATAAAGAAAACATGATTTACCCTCTCCATGCCCCGGATGGATTTCCCCTCTTTACAAGAGAAGAGGATGTAAGCTTGGTGGGGGAAGAGCTATTGGCGGTTTCATTCACTGCTGAGTGCACAGCACCCAGGCAGATCCTGCTCACAGTGGGTCCGCAGTGAGTGCCTGGTGCATAAAGAGGGGACTTGGCCACCTTGAGGGGCAAGCACTCCCCGGAGGCAGAGGGCAAGGTCCAGCCTGTGCCTGGGCAAGTCACTCAGCTTGTCAGTTCCCTCATCTGTGGAACCAAAGGGCGGGGCCAGGTTTGGAAAGACAAAGAGCTGTAGAGTCACAGACTAGGGACACAGTCATTCCCATCATTTACAAGACAGGGAGCCTCAAGCGACTACCATGACATCTCCAAGCCTCAACTCATGTGGTCTGTAGATGGGACTGACATCAGATCATAAAAATGAGCACCCACCACCTGATTGTTGTTCTAAGAATGGATAATGTAATTATTGACTTATTGTCACACACCAGAGGACAAAAGAGGCCCACACTGTACTCACCCCGCACAGACAGCTCAGTGCCTGGTCCAGACTTCAACTCCGTATTAGGGCTCCCTTTCCGGAACTTCACACAGTAGTAGGTGCCGGCATCTGCTGGGGTGATGTTACTGATGCGGATGGAATGGTCCAAGCTGTTTCCCTTTGTATGGTCTGCAACAGTTGTTACCCGGGGGAAGTGGCCTTCTTTTTGATTGTAGATTAATTCCCGGCCGGGTCCAGTTCCTCTGAACCACTGGATGGGCCCCACAGGGACCAGGGAGGTCACAGTGCAGTGCAGAGTGGCCGTCTCTCCAGCTGCGACGGACACGGACTTCTGAGGCTGCATCACCTGCACATTCTCCTCACCTGCCACTCCTGAAAGGAGCACAAAGCAGTCGTGTATTTATCCTGACTTGATCTTGTATGTTTCCCCATGTTTATCAAAGGCTTTAATTGACTGGGTGCACATAAGGAGCAGTCTTGAGCTCAGCACACTACATGTATTATCTAATTTAATTCTCCCAACCTGGCCTGTAACATAAGATTGTATTTTTTTAAAATTATACTTTAATTTCTGGGGTACATGGGTAGATCATGCAGGTTTGTTTCATAGGTATACACATGCCATGATGGTTTGCTGCATCCATCCCCCTGTCATCTACATTAGGTATTTCTCCTAATGTTATCCCTCCCCAGTCTCCACACCCCCTGCTATCCCTCCCCTACCCCTGCCAACAGGCCCCAGTGTGTGATATTCCCCTCCCTGTGTCCATGTGTTCTCACTGTTCAACATCCACTTATGAGTGAGAACACGGGGTGTTTGGTTTTCTGTTCTTGTGTCAGTTTGCTGAGAATGATGGTTTCCCGCTTCATCTATGGCCCTGCAAAGGACATGAACTCATCCTTTTTTATGGCTGTGTAGTATTCCGTGGTGTAAATGTGCCACATTTTCTTTATCCAGTCTATCATCGATGGGCATTTGGCTTGAGTCCAAGTCTTTGCTATTGTTAACAGTGCTGTAGCTTTCACCTCCCAGCCTGCAACACTGTTATGGAAGCCCTCAGAAAGGAATATGGACCCAGTAGGCAGCAAATGCGGCACTGCTTAAAGAGGAGGAGGCCACAGAGAAATGGGTGGTAAGAATCAGGTACAGGGGAGAGAGGAGGACCAAGGGATACAGGACAAAGTAAGGAGCACCCTTAAGGAGGACAGTGGCTAAACATCCCCAGGAAACACTGCACCCCTGCCCTACTCAGGCAGGCACCATTTCAGACTTCACTTCCTCTGGGTGGTGGTTACAGAAGGCTGGGCCTGGAGCCACACAGCTCTCAGCCTGTCTCTGAGCTCACTCTGTCCTTGGGTAGGTTGTTTGGCCCCAGAGTCTCAAGACTGGTAAAGATTTAAGTAATGATTGTCCTGTGTTTGTCAAATGAAATATTATCAAAACGTAAGTAATTGTGGTGGTGATTCAATCATCCTGTGATCCATGCCTCTGGTAGCCGGCTGCTGACCCACAGAGAAAGTGCTCAGCTCCCTGGTTTCCTGCTCTTAGGCCCCATCTTGGGTCTTCCTTGGCAGCACTTGTGGTTGTTTGGAATTCCCGGAAGTCCAGGGGCAGGGCATGGCCCTGCAGGCCAAGGGAAAGGGTTCTAGCTCAAGGCAATGCTCACCTGTGAGTCCCAGCAGTAAAGTCAGCAGCAGGAGGGGACCAGGAGGGTGGGGCCAGGAGGCCGGGTTAGGCATCCTGGAGACCTCAGGAGCCTGCTCTGTTCAACGTCTGTGCTGGGGAGATGCCAGGCTCCGCTCTGAAGAGAGAAGACAAGACCTTCCTCCTTGATTCAAGAGGAAGTGGCTATGATGGTGGGGGATGTCACAGTCTTGCTTCTAGATTGTGACATACAAATCGGGCACAGCAGGCAGCTACAAAACACGGTTACTCATGCTCCATTTGCAGGAGACTTAGCTTATCTGAAATAATGCTTCCTCCTCAGCTGAGGCCTGAGTTATCTCCACAGGGTCTTCTTGGTGATTTGCCAGTCGGGGGTCTTGTGCCAAGAAGATCTGTGTTTGTGAGCTGTGCCCTAAACACTCCATCTCAAGACCCTAGGATGTGGTTGGCTTGTGGCTTTGTTCTATGCCAGCCTCAACCAAGTGCTACTCAGCAGGGGGCAGGAGGGGGGATCACAGGACCCTCTTGATGTTGAAGAGGAAACGAGCCTGCTCTTGAAATGAGTCCTTATTCTAACCTTTTATTGATATGACTGGTGAAACGTAGCCCAAATTCAGTCTAATCTGGACTTCGGCACTTTCATGTGCCAGCATCCGGCAGACGGAATCATTTCCTGAATTCTTCCAGGAGAGGGAGTAGTTTTAGTTTAGTGAGCATGCATTTCGTGGGGTGAATGGAGTGAAGTGAGGAATGTGGTTTTTAAAAACAGGGTAGGTCTATGATTCGGGAGAATACGGCGGACAGGTTTCTGAGGCCATCATATCAACTTTAATACTCTTTGTTCTGCACGGAGGACGTACTTCATTCACTGTGTTCAGACGGGAAACGGGGGGAGAGGAAGTATAAATGCCCTGACCAAGAGGGTGTGCTGAGGAGTTGGGGAAGTCACTGGAGCCATGTGTGCTCAGTGTTCTCTAAACTGGGGATTATAATTGTTTCATTGCACTGTTATCGTGGAGATTAGATACAATAATGACTGTACCACGCCTGAAACCCAGTGGGTCATTACTGAAACTCATGGTGCCAGGTGAAGACGGGAAACTCAAAGCCTGGCATGGCTTTCTCCCAGCAACCCAGGCCCCCTGAGACCCAGATTATATGGTGTACTTGGACTACCCCTGCCACACGGAGATCAATTGCTTTCACTTGGATTCTCTGCATCCTGCTCCATATAATCCATAGATTAATTTGTTCTCTCACAATTTACAGCTGTGTGACTTTCAAGAAGACACTTGACTTCTCTGAGTTTTATTTTGATTGAGTGTAAATAGAGGTTATAACATGCACCAACATACACCTTGTAGAGATGTGGTGGAAACAATGTAAACCTTAATGAATGCTTGACTCATAATTAATTCTAACCAAAAAATGTGACAATCTTTTTTTTATTTTTTATTTTTTATGGGAAGCGTTCCCTGCTTTCCTGCCACAGTTGTGCTTTAGAACAGCCACCTTGTTAGGAGAAATGGTCTCTCTTGCATCATCTATGACTAAGAAAGACCTGTCTGGAAGCCTCTCTGTCACATGCTGGGTTTTAGATCCTTCATCTGATATGAGTAATTGTCAAATGAAATTGTAAAGGTTATCATATTTTCATTCAAAGTTCTGTTCAATGTGGCAAATGTGCACAGGGTGAAATCTTCCCCTCCTACTTCACACCCACAAAAATGAAAATGGAAAAGTATAAAATTATGTTAATCCATGTCGAAGTACACTTAAAACAAGACAATAGTCTCCATGTGACATGAAGGAATAGTAGCACCTATCATTTATTGGAGATAAATGTGCCCCAGATATGGTGTCAAGCGTTTTATGTCAGTTATCTCATTAACTCATCACTCTCACTCCAGCTGGTAAGCACTGCCACTAACCTACCTCCTTTTACAGGTAAGAGAACCTGAGTGTCACAGAGAGCAATGGATTTGCTCGAGATCACTCAGCTTTTAGAACTAGAGCAGAGGTTGCCACACTCCACAGACTTTACTTTCAATGTTTGCACTATGAAATTTCTCACAGGAAAAAAGAGACATCCCTTAGGAAGAAGCAGAAAAGAAGCCATAGCCTCAATTAGGAAGAGACCCCACAGTGAAGCTGTGGCAGGTGCCATGCTCCGTGAAGTCCTGACAACACATGATCGCGTGGGGTGGGGCATTATTCCTGGCAAGACGGCAGTGCAAACACGAATAGCTAAAGATCTGGGGAACAGCAGATCCATGAGACATACCTAACCAATCCAAGAACAACAATATGTCAAAAAACAGCAATCAAAAAAACTTCACAACTGACGACATGTGACAAAATAAAATACAAAAAGGTCTTTAAAATTAGTATATGTAGTAACTTTGTAAAGATAGCAAAAGGGAAGTAAATCCATAAAAATACGTCAGGGATGTATGAAACAGCTGTGGGTACCATCCATATTTAATCATCTGCTCATCATTTAAGAAACATTTCCTGGGAGCCTGGTGTATTCGCAGTGGTGGTCTCCTCCTGGGATGCCTGTTGCAAGTGGACAGGCAGCTCTGAGATAGGACTCTGCCAGCTCAGCCCTCCTTCTGAGTCCCGATGCCCCTTCCCTCATTGTTTCCACTCAGGCACACAGAGGATCAGAATGGGTACAGCCCTAGGAGCTGCCCATCTGTGGTTTCTCAACATGACTCTATAGTGGGGATTCCTTTGGGTCCATGGAGCTCAGCATCAAATAATCTAGAGATGGCCTTCAAGGGACCACCCACTCAGTTGTCCATGATTCAGGCCCCTCGTCCTGCCTCCTCATGGAACCCCTGGGGTGCTGTAAAAACCTGTGAACACCCTTGCTATAGCTCACCTCCTTAAGCACTCACACACTTCCTGGGGGTTGGGTCCTTCTTAGAGGATTCTCTGAGACTCCTGAGGATGCCGAGGGAGCTCTGTCACCTTCTCTAAACCCCACTGACCCTGATGCTGCATAGGTTGGCTGGGTTCTTCTTTTGGTCTTGCCCTTCCAGGACAGCCCTTGCTCAGGCCTGCACCCCCCGTCCCCGACCACTTACAGTCAGGCCTTCTGCTTCCAGTGGGCATAGATGACAGAGAACAAACCACCAGCAGCACCTTGGGGCCCAGAAGGAGCACTATGAGGAGTGGAGCAGGAGGAGCCAGTGCCAGGCCTGGAAATCAGGAGACAGGAAAAGTTACAAGGGGGCTACCCAGGAGGCCATTCCATAGAATCCCACTTACCCCATCTGAGGCTACCTGGGACTGTCAGTGCTCTAACGCTTTTGTAACTGCATCCTGCCCGGGCTGCCCTAGCTCCCACCCAAGACAGAAGCCAGGGAAAGAGGTTCCTCCTTCCCTTACCCCGTCCCAGGCTGCCAGGCTGTCCTCCTGGAGGGAAGAGATGGAGAGAATATGTACTCAGGTATTTATACATGTGGCACCTGTGTTCCTCCCTTAATCCTCACAAGGCAGTGGGGCAGGGATTATTATTCCATTCTGAAGGGGAAATTGAGGCTCAGAGAATTTAGGGAGGGTCACAAGCTTACTAGTATCCAAACCTAGGGAAGCCCATCATTATGTCCGTTAGGATGATTCCTGAGACTGTATCCTTTTGAACAAGACAAGTCCATCCTCCCAGGGTCATAGGAACAATTATGGCAGGGCAAGCAGGTGGCGAGACAGTAACTGAGCACCCCCAGCTTGCTGAGAGGCAGGTGATTTTCTCTTTTCTTTCTTTCTCCTTCTCCCCTGCTCCTAGTTTCCTACTTAGCCCTTCAGAAATGCAAATACAACTTTCACCTTTCCCTCACCAGACATTCCCTGCAGGGCAACTTTTTCTGTGTGCTCCAAGACAGACCTCTCCTGGAGGGGTGACACTCTGAAAATGTCACCTCCGCCGGTATCCTCCAGACTCTGATCCACCAGGAGGGCATATGGAAAGCATGACCGCTTGGCCACTTTTACAACTTACTTCTGCACAGGATGGTGCCAACTCAGCAGTCTGGTAGCTAAGTCACCAGGCTAGCAGAGGGCCGCCTTCCCTTGCCCCCGTCCCCAGCACCTTATAAAAGCATCTGCTCTCTGCTTCAAAGGGGACGCGGCACATTTAAAGGCAGGATACTTTGTGCCCCTTCCCCAGGCAGGCTTCGGAATAAATTCACTTTCCTTGTATCAGACCTGGTTCCCAATGATTGGATTCTACATGCAGCAAGCAGCTAACATTATTTTCAGTTACTTGAGGATAGCTTCAGAACAGTTGCAGGCCACCCTGCTTAACCTCAGGGCTGGGGGATAACCCCATGTTCTCAAGGACCTGGGGAAGCCCTAGAGGGGCGGGACCTAATGAACTGTGCTGGCTAGAACACCCTGGCATGACTCTCATGCTTGGGAGGGCCTCAGACATCAAGCTCACCTCAACCCCAGAGCACGTGCAATCTGAAATCTCTCTGTTGGACAGACAGTCCGATCTGAAGAAGCACACATTTGGATTCTCTGCATTTTTACTATGAGAAAAATTTTTTTTTTCTGTTTAAAGCAAACAAATGAAGATATGTTTACTTTTGTTTTCCTATATGTTTTCTGGGAAATAAAATGGTGCTGGTGGGTCCTTAAGGAAGGTATGGAGATCTCAGCATCTGTGTCTGGAATGGTGGAGGCCAGCAGTTCCCAGCTGGGTGGCTCTCTGGGACTTGGTCTCCCTTCAGGAGAGTTGCATTCTCCAAGTTCACTCCTCCTTCTAGGGGGCAGACCATAAGAAAGACTGGCTGAATTGAAAATAGAAAGGCCATGCGTCTCTCCTCAATTAAAAAAAAAAACTCTAAAGGAGCCTCTTAGCCCTTGGCTTCCGTGGAGAAGCAGCTGGGTCTTTGTCTTGTCTGCACTGTGGCTCAGCACATCTGTCGTCCTGCGTTTGTGCCTCCCTCTCTCAGGCATGTCGACCCTGACACCACTCTGGGGTGCTCCCTGCATTTCTGTATCCACCTCCAGTTGTCCTCCTAGCAAAACTGACAATGGAAATGGTCGGAAAAGCAGACTCTAAAATGCAAGTTTGGAACATGACCACTCACTTATCAGCTGACAATGAAGACCCCAGGGCTGGTAGTGAGTGGAGCTGGGGAGGCCCTGAGTTGCAGCTATGGTGCCACTAGGAAAACGTTCACTAGCAATGAAATGGGAAGGAAATTCTTCAG